TATCGCCTGCGGCTGTGTTCGCGTCGTTGCCTTTGGAATACTTCCTCTCCGTTCTCTTACACTCCTTTATTCCTCCTCTGCTATGTCCATCCTTGCTAATCGTGCGCAGCTTGTCTTATCCCGTCTCTCCTCCCCCTCCCCCTCCCTTCCCCCTCTGTAGCAATGCCTCCATGGTAATTATGAATGGCTTTTCTCCTCCCCACCTGTCACCTGGGTCTTACGAGGCTTTTCATAATCACGTGACACTATTTGTGAGTGTAGGGGGAGGGGGAGGGGGTGTATCCCTTCACGGACTGCTAGTAATGTGCAGTCATTTAAACCTCACTACCTCTCTACCAGTGTCTACCCCCCCCCCACTCTCTCTCTCTCTCTCTCTCTTTCTTTTCTTTCTTCTTTCTTTCTCTCTCTTCTCTCTCTCTCTCTCTCTCTCTCTCTCTCTCTCTCTCTCTCTCTCTCTCTCTCTCTCTCTCTCTCTCTACCGCCACTCTCCGAGCGCCCCAACCCCCTGTGCCTTTTAATCTCGTCTTCATCAGCCACCTCCTTTTACGGGCGATGTTTGTATTTGTGTGTGTGTCTGGAATTTCGCTGCTGTCTTGCATGTCCTCCGTTTTTTTTCTTTGGATTGTTTGCTTTGGGTAGACTTACAACCACTCTCCATCTCTCGCGTTCTGATAAAACAAACAAACACAAAAAAGGAGATTGGTGTGTTATGACTTGGATGAAAATCTTTCCCTTTTTTTCCATATGTCATTCTTCGTAAACACTAAATGTTTGCGGAGGTGTATTCCATCATCGACTGATATCTGCGGGCTTATTGTCTCTCTCGGCGCAGTTTTGCTCGCGCCGGAATGCAATTTGTATATGGTTTTGCTGACGGAAGAAATGTGCGGTGATGTTGATTATGCTTGCCGTGATATTCGGGGATGTTGTTGCTGCCGGAAGTGTACTGGGAAGATGCAAAGCCTGGAAACGTTTTACTTGGAGTGTTATCCTAGGGTTGAAATATTGGTCTCGTCGTCTTGTTCTAGAAACGTTTACTTGGGTGTGTATGATTAAGATATTGTTCTTGTTCTAGAACGTTTACTTGAGTATTGCCGTTCTTGTTCTAGAAACGTTTACTTGAGTGTTGTCTATGATTAAGATATTGTTCTTGTCTAGAAACGTTTACTTGGGTGTTGTCTTATGATTAAGATATTGTTCTTGTTCTAGAAACGTGTTGCCATATGATTAAAATATTTTTCTTGTTCTAGAAACGTTTACTTGGGTGTTGTCTTATGATTAAGTGTTGTTCTAGAAACGTGTTGCCATATGATTAAAATATTGTTCTTGTTCTAGAAACGTTTACTTGGGTGTTGTCTTATGATTAAGATATTGTTCTTGTTCTAGAAACGTGTTGCCATATGATTAAAATATTTTCTTGTTCTAGAAACGTTTACTTGAGTGTTGTCCTATGATTGAAATATTGTTCTTGTTCCAGCGTTCCTTTGTTCTATCTCTGCGGCGGATCTTGGCGGCTTTTCTTTCTAGATCGGTATTTTGATTATGGATCGTTAGTTATACGTATTCTCCTAGCTCTGTGATTGCGTTGGTGTTATTTTTTCGTGTTCCTGCAAGTGGCGTGAATGTTGTGAATTAATTAATTGGTAAGAATGAGGTAGTAAGTGAAGAGGAAGAGGAAGGTGGCGAGATGTAGTACTATGGGAACCCTTTTTTAATCGCTGGAAGGCAAGGGGGGGGGAGGTCGAGGATGGCTGTGAGAAGGAGGATTAGGAGGAGGACCGGGGCGCAGGGCAAGGGGAGGTGATGGCGGGATTGATCATAGGATTAATTTTGGATTAACGGCGTGTCAGAGGTTGTCATGCGAAGGGCGGGATTCAGGCATTCCCAGGATGAATAAGGTGTAGGAGGGAGGGGGTGGGCGTAGGATGGCGTGGGCGAGGGGAGCCTCATAATGGCCGGAGCCATTGCCGCCAGACGGGGCATCCTTCGCGAGATGGAGAAACTCATTTGATATTTGAGGCTGTAGGGTCCATCTGGGAGCGCGGCGGCTGTGATTTATGGGCTCATCGCGACAGTTTTATGAACTCCTTGATATAGCGCCGCAAAGATTACCAGGCTATGGAAAAAGATCTTGAAGAATGATAATGTGTTTGGGGGGGGGGCGTTGTTTCAGCTTTCTCTGCGAGCGGGGGTCCGATGGAAACAAAGAGCGGGGAGGCGATGAGTCCGGCGCGATGAGTCATTATCCCGGCGCTCTTCCGGCGTGGAGGGGCCAGCGAGAGCCTGCAGGCCGTTAGAATGCGATGATAGCTTTCGCTTGTTTATACCGCCCGCGAGAGTTTGTTTGCGTTGCAGGCGTAACAGCCCCGAGACTGTGAGGGGGCCGTCGGCTCGGAGTGATGAGCGGGAGATAATGGACTCCTTCGAACTCGTTCTGTTTTACAACGCTGGCGGCGCGGATGATTTAGGTGCTCCCTTTCCCTCCGCCCCGTTTTTCAAAAGGGGATTGTGGGGGGGGGGGGGTTGGCCAAGGTGGAGGGGACAGCGAGGCGAACTGTCCCCAGGGGCCCTCGACACCAGCGGGTAAAACGCTGACGCTGAACCGCGCTCGACCAAGCGCGCGGGAATTTCAGTGAAGAAAGGCCTTCCTACATGAGGCGTTGCGACCACGGCGGAGGAAAACACGTCGACTACACGACTGTTTCGGAGGCGTTTGTCCCGCTAGCCGTAAGCCACAGGTACTTGGCACCGGTTAATAATTGAAAAAAGATATCGATGTTTACAAATTCCTTTATGTATTGTTTTCTTCGTTTTTTTTATGCGAAAGGAAAACTTGTCTTTGTGGCGTTGATAACTCTACAGTGTCCCCCTCCCCCAGCCTCCTCCCCTCTGGGTCCCTCCACACTCGGCGTAGCGGCCTTGGCTAATTGAGCCCAGCATCATCTGGTAACTGCGGGTCGTCATTAGCGTAAGAGGCCTTTTCCTTTTTTATCGTCGTCTAAGCGAGGGTTTATCCAAGGTCGTCGTTATCCCTTCTCCCTTAACTGGTTCCATTACTGAGCTCTGCAGCGTTGAAGGCGAGAAGCTTGTGGTCATAGCGTTTGAATTGATTTTTTATTCGCTTTTTTTATTTATTTTTTTTTTTTTTTTTTTTTTTTTTTTTTTTGAACGATCCGAGAATTTGAACAAATACTGTCTACTCGGACCCATCCACCACCGCTTCCTTTTTTTCTACTCTCCTTAATTATTTATTCAGTTTGCTCTCTAGTTTTTTTCCAGTCCTTTCTCTTCTCTCTTTTATTCAACATATGCTATTTTGTGTTCGTGTATGTTTTTTTTATTAATTTGATTTTTTTTTTCTTTTCATATCCTATTGTTGATTTTATTTGACTTCTCTCTCCTTTTTAGCATATTTAGTGTGTCTCTCCTGTTTTCTCCTCTCTTGTTCATTAGCTTGAGCTTTCCTTTCTTTTCCTGTATTTTTTTTTTATCATTCTCTTCACTCTTTCTTTCTTTTTCTTTCTTTCTCTCCCTCTCTCTTTCTCTGTTTTTTCTCCCCCTCCTCTCTCTCTCTCTCTCGTCTTCTCTCTCTCTCATCTTCTCTCTCTCTCTCTCTCTCTCTCTCTCTCTCTCTCTCTCTCTCTCTCCCTCTCCTCTTCTCTCATCTCTCTCTCTCTCTCTCTCATACACACCGCCTCCATAATACTGCAGTACATCCGCTGTCAGTACCACTGGTTTATGGGTAATATTTTTTCTGGCATATCGTATTAAAAAAAAGTCTGCTTGTTCATCAAAAAAATGCGATGCTCGCTGGATGATGATCATGCATGTTGCTCATCTCACGGCGATTGATTCGTGATTGCGCCTTTCTTAGCCGTTGTTTGCGCTGGCTGTGTCGTGGGTTGATTGGTGTTGTTTTTGTTTTGATTTTGATATTTATATTTTTTTCTGTTAATATCATTGTTATTGAGTAGTGTTGTTGTTAATTGGTATTGTTATTATTATTGTTGTTGTTATTTTTATTTTATCATCAGTCACCGTCATCCCCATCATTTATCCATCATCATCATTATCATCATTATCATTATATATCATCCATTATCACCATTATCATTAGTAGGAATAGTAGTAGAGACAAAAAGGCAGACAGAAAAGTACGAGTATTGGCATGTCCCCTTTGTTATCTCTGTAGGTATTTATAAGTGCACCAC